CCACTAGATGGATGTAGGAGTTTCTCGCATTCTCAAAGTGCACAAAAGTGCCCTCCATTTACTCATGGAATCATCCCTCGCAAGAGAGTTTTGTATATCCCCATACGTCTCTCCTTGCCTCATTGTAGCAATCAATAAACTTGGACACTCCCTTATTTGGCATCCCCATCTTCCAGATAGAATCATAGAGTCCAGGCCAGAAATATGCTCATTTTCCTTATGAAACCACGTACGAGAAAAAGAAAACTAACCTGATAAGGCCTTTTTGGCCAGCTGGAACCGTAAACGCCTAATTATCATCGGGGCATCTGTCTTTACCCCTTCCGATAGGATGTACATATTTTATCGACTTAAATAAAATCAGAATTTACTGACTCACGAAGTAAAACCGCTAGGACACTATAGTTTTCATTCTTCTTCTGCTCAGGTGGACCTGAATACTAAGCGCCCCAAAACACTGATACTAACCTAAATAAATTCAGGTTGCTTTCTCAATAAGGCCGCATAGATCCTTACTCTTTAAACACCTAAAGTGAAAAAAACTTCAAGGGAGAGATCCTGGGGGAGAAGCAGCTCTCTCTCGGGTTGACTTCTCCCCCATAGCCATGAGTCACCTTCTCAGGGCTAAGTCATTAGCTTCATGAGGGTTTTNATAGCCATGAGTCACCTTCTCAGGGCTAAGTCATTAGCTTCATGAGGGTTTTGTTCTCTGCCAACCCTCATGTTGGGAGGATCTCACCATGGTGGGCGAGAGTCATGTGTCGGTCCACCACATGACAGCGGGGCCCACCATACTTTTAGCTCCTAACTTTATAAAAAAAAGAAAACTATAATTGAAAGAACATTTTATCCGAAAAGCGTTTCAGTAAAGAAACGCGTTCGCAGGTTCTGTCTACCGTTTCCTTAGTTCGAGAGAAGAGTGATACTCCTCTCTACCGAAGAAAGGGTACGCTCTATCCTGCGCAATCCAGTGACATCCTTGAGCAATAAATTATGCAGACCTAGGCGGTACTAGTATTAGTAATGTAAGTGTCCCTACCTTGGGAAAACCCCCAATCGGTAATTGATTTACTCCAAAATGCTGCGCCCATTTTGACGATGGTTTGCCATTTCCGTCGTACGTGGTGGGTCACTCCGAAAGTTTTTAGAATCAGGCTATGAGATTACACGATCCTTTGCTTAAGGCTATGATGCTACTGTACAACTCTTTATTGCTCTACATACCAAATGGCATTCTTCTCCGAGTCGTATTAACAAAGTTATAGCTTCTTTGATTTTCCTTGGTGGTAGTATTTTACTACGTTGCAATGGAGCTCACTCGAGAGCACTGGCGGGCTATGATTTTCTATGATTTCAAAAAAGATTCAGCCAAGCAGATTGCTGCCAGTCCTTGAGAGGAGCTTTTGGAGACACTGCACCTTCAAGCGCCATAGTGTATAATTGGTTTGCCCATTACCTCCAAGGACGACACTCACTCGAAGACGAACGTCGCGTGGGCCGTCCCACCACTGCTGTTGCTCCTGACATCATTAAGCGTGTGCGTAACCTGATTGAGAACGATCGTCGAATCACTTCTGAGGAGATTCTGGCTGTCTTGGGTATCGGATCGGCTGCACTCCACGAGATCCTGCGCCAACGTCTTGGCTTGCGGAAGCTTATTTCTCGTTGGGTGCCCCACTGCTTGACTACAGAACAAAAACAGGCACGCAAGGAGTGGTGTTCCTATATGTTGGAAAAATTTGCAGAGGGAGAGTCTCGCTTGCTATCCGACATCCTGACAGGTGACGAGACCTGGATACAAAACTATGATCCAGAAACCAAGCTGCAGTCAGGCATGTGAACATTTTCTAATGAGCCTCCACCGTCGGACTCGAAGTCGGACTGAGTTTCGTCGGACTCGAAGCGTCAACAAGATGGTGGCCACTTTTTTCCTAAGATCTGGTCATGTGAAGACGGTGATATTAGAGGATCATCGTACGGTGACTGCTGAATGGTACATCAAAGTATGTCTGCCCACCATCTTGGCTGAAGTGAAGCGGATGCGTCTAAAGACTGGTCTTCGTGGGTTGCTCCTTCATCACGACAACGCTCCTGCTCACACTGCAGTTCGCACTTTGGACTTTCTGGTGGAGCAGGCAGTCAGACTTGTGACCCATCCACCCTATTCGCCTGATCTGAGTCCCTGCAACTTCTTCCTGTTCCCCAAAGTTAAACAACAGCTGCGTGGACGCCAGTTCAATGACGCCGATGAGGCTATCAATGCTTACCAGGAGGCAATAACGGCTCTGACTGATCGGATGTGGAAAACGTCCTTTGAAAGCTGGTTCAAGCGGATAAAAACTTGTGTGCAGTGTGATAGTGACTACTTCGAGCATCTGTAGAAAGTTGGTTCCATTTCGGTGTGTAGTCTCCTTGATTCTAAAACTTTCAGAGTGACCCACGTAAAGCCTGGGTTTCGAAATCCAAGAAATCCTCTCCGAATCCTATAGGTCAAAATTCCTATACGACCCTATAGGAATTCTATAGGTTTTTTGTGTTTTAAAAACCTATAGTAAAGTCTATAGGAAATAACTGTAGGTTTCCTATTGTGTTGAACATTTCCATTGAACATTTCCGTAAGGGGATCCCCATTGAAGTCGCTCTCTATTCCTAAAGAGTTCGGGAAGTTTATCACGTATTGCCGCAGTCTATGACTTCTGAGCTTTCGACAGACAATGGCATGGTTCCAGATAGTACTGAGGACGACCACTTTAGAAATCCTACACCTAATAAAGACTAATGCAGCAAATTCTGGAAGTGTTAGGTTCCCATCGTTTACTTTAAAAAAAGAAAATAATAAATTTGAACAAATGGAACACCCTCTCAGAAAACGTGAAAGAGTGAATCTGAAAAAACGCGCCGGAAAACACCCTAGATTAAGGATGGAAGATTGAAGCCGGAAGTATTCTGCATAAAAAAGAATCTCGACATTCCCAAATCGACGATTAACAATATTCACAAAACGAAGATGTAACTTTTTCTGCATGGAGTTGTCCCAGAAGCAAGCTCGAGGCTTTCAATTTTCAACGTGTTTCCCTAAATGCATCGGTTTGCATCCTGACGATGCGTTTGCGATGTCCAATTGCCAGGTATGGGACCCAGAATTGAAATTAAATCAGTGCAATTGCATGCCTCCTCACTCCATGCGAAGTCAAATTTTCGGAAAATCATTACAGGTGCTACAGCACATGTTAATGCCCAGCACAAGTTAATGCCCATGTGCCCTCTCCTTCTGAGGCTGAATACTTGCCCATCTACAAAGCATCCAACCCCGTTGACGTTATTTTTACAACTGGAAATTTCCACGATATCATTGCTGTGGCTACAATCAATTTTAGAGAAGTCTCGTGAAATGAAACAGACGAATTACCTGACAGAAAGAGAGATGATTTTGCCATTTAAGATGAGACAGTGAAATCATACCTCTGGGTCTTCATCAATCTCCAGAAAGATCTCCCATCTTGAAATTATCATCTGATACTGCCAAGAAAATAAAAAAGAGATGGGGAAAATACCCCAAAGAAACTTAATATTCTGGCGGCTCCAAAATTGAAGGACGTGGTTTGCAATCCTGAATATCGAAAACTTCCCATGAGATACTGCAGATTTTCCACGAGTTTCTCGCCAGAACAGGGTGTTTCGGATTGACTGATGGAAACTTCCTCATTGGAAGAAGGTATTCATTGAGGGAAAAGAAGAACCAAAGCCTGAACGAAATGAGGGGATCAATTTTGTCGAAAATGAAGCGACCCTTTTTGGGGCTGAAATAACGTTTCCTTCAAAAATGACAGCAAAGAAGGGAAGCGAAAAATTTTCAAAGAATTGCCTCATAAAAATGTGTGTTCTATTCTTTAAAAAATACGCAATCTCGTCAGACTTACGTAATATCTTGAGGTAATGGGGATTAAAATAAATGTTGTACCCTTTTCTATACGAGAAACACAGTTCCATAACTGCGAAAAAGGATACTTTAACTATGCTGTAAACATTTAACTGTTACGAGTTGTTGAGATGCATGCCAGTTTTTTTTTTCAGCGGTACTCCTGCCTTAGTCTTGCAAGGCCTATTTAGAAGTGAATTAAAGATGTTTATAGGTGGATCATTTCACCTTTAGTGTGGTGATGACGATAACTTATCTGTATTTGACCATCTTTAAATTCAATTAGATTTGGCATGTAGTCGGATTATTTTGAGAAAAGCCCACAGACAAAATATGCAGGCCTCTACTTCAAGCGGAGGCTGAGAAAGCGAATGCTAATTTGGTCATGTGGTTGCTACATGGTCCCCAACCCCCAGGTGCTAACTTCCTGTCTACATGGTTATTATAATGTCACCACCCTATTTTGATTGGACATTACTTTGCAAGGGGCAATTGAATGCAGGTGATTCTTCACCAGGAGGTTCATGAGTCTAAGCGGTTTTTTCAAATACCGCAAGATGGCGCTGCATTTCGGTGGAGGTCGTTTTCGACTGGAGCCTCCCCACTCCTATTTTCGTGCTGAGCCATACTTTTAGTGTAGGAAAAAAGAAAACTTTCTGACCCATGAGCCTCTCTGCCTAATATCAGTTTCATCTGAGTGCCCTTTCAAGAGATATCCTTTTTGAGTCAATTTAAAAAATACGAAATTTGTCAAAGTCGATTTAAGGCCAAAACGGTGCGATCTACTTTAATTAAATGTTAATATGAGGTAGCATTGAACATTACTGTATTTGAGATACAATTATCCACCTGTAAACTTCGCAACGTTACAATGCTTGGCTCAAATAATTGATCTGAAGAAAAAAATCACTTAAAATACGTCCAATCTCAAGAGTTTAAGAATAGAAACATGTTTGCTCCATTAACCAAATCTAACTTTCTCCCGTAGAAAAAGGAAGAACTTTTTTATCACCCTATGTGCATCTCTTTCTATTCACGAAAGCACTTGACGGACAGATTTTCCATTAGTGCATTTATTATACCCACAATTTAACACTCAATACTAATGAACGAAGTACAATTTTGCACACAATAAGTATTACAACCCTTTTCAGATGTGTCTCAGGGGTCAAGAAAGATTGAAATTGCAATTGTTGACTTATTGGCACATTTCTAGATTAAGATTGCACAAAAATGAATTCAGAGCACTGTACAGATAGAAATTTCAAGTAATGTGAAAACAATTAAATAATCAACCGTTAATAACTCACAGAAAGCGTTTCACGAATCAGCCACACACAGCAAACTGTAACAACTTACTGTTCCGCAATTGAAGATACCCAATTATAGCACGAGCTTCATATAATTTTCATAACTTCATGTTTGTCGTCTGCCCTAGCGCTGATATTCCAGGAAAATTCATCAGAAGTTACTGGCTATGTTAATTTCTTTATATCGCCCACAGAGTTCCTTAACAAAAAGACAACTGGAATTTTTACTAGGTGTCGCAAAGTGAATGTAGTTGGCTCCCACAGAGTGGCCAACGACTTTTATGAGCATAGTTTCAGATGCAGCCAAAGTTCTGTTCCATTTTTATTAGCCTTCTTAGAGTATGCAATATGCACAAATATAACAATAATTAAAAGTTCTGCAGATTTTTGCCGTCAAGATAGAGTGCAGGTGGATAAATATTTTTCGTTTTAGATTTAAATGGGAAGTACGTCTTCGCAGCTGAAATTCATCGCAAGAGAAAGAAACGCTTAAGAATGAGGAGGAAGGGCAATCCGGGATGTACTGCTTCAAATGGACCCTACGAGGCCGGAAGGAGAAGTTCCTGCCTCATCGACAAATACTTCCGCATGCAGAGGACGTATTGCCTGCATCCCTCCACGTGAAGCTGGTGCAGGAACAAGGTCGGGACGAGCGGGATCTTCATGTCCATCGAAATTACCCAGCGTAGCAGGGTCCGCGTCGTTTTGTGTTCCGGATCGGGAGAGAATGACAGGCCGCTCCCTTCCTCGACCTCCACCCTGGTTCGCCCAAAAATCAGTAGGGAAAATTAGGGCATGTATGTATTAGTATGCGAATGAAGCGATTTGGGTGAAGATATTAATTTCACAGGGTGCGCAAAAAACGCTCACCTCTTTTTATTTTATTGCTACAATCTTTTTATTTCATCAAGTAAATAATAGCGTCATCAAGATGTACTTCTCGAAGGAATTCACTTTTTTATTACAGAAGATGGCGCTGATGCACCTGCCAAAAATACTGTTGCATCAGCGTCATATCACCAAGAAACATGTGGATGGGCTATTCGTGCTTACACCATTTTCACAAAACAAAATTTCGACTTGATAGCTTTTAATTTGATGAATGAAGCAACCTCCTCCACAATAAATATTCTCGAGCGTAAAAAAAAACACTTTTGGATTCATAAAAAAAAGCAAGGTGTTTCATTACCTGACCATGTCCTGTTTGGGTTCCTTCTCCGGCCACTCGGTGCTGCACATGCAAACGAAGTACGAGTCCTCTATTTTGCGCCCCAGCGAGACGTAGACAAAGTCCCGACTTGCCAGTATCCCCCCAAGCTTCGGCTCCATCACTTGGTACACGGCCCAGCATACGTCCGACAGTTGCTGTGAGGGCCAGGATTAGATCGTCAGCGAGGACCGTTTTTTACCCGATTTCGTCGAGGTCCACCATATTCGGTCGTCTTGAAATGCGACAGGCTGGATGTTGCCTGCGCCATTTGCTCATTCGGTAAATCATACATGATGATTACGATTTCAGCAGCATACTGGTGAAATCCCATTTTAAAGGCATTAATCGAGAGAGAAAAGGAAACATCCACACATATCCAATCTAATTCACCCTATTACGGGCGATTGACATTGACTGACATCAGACTGCTGGAAATTAGTTAGAGTTTGCTGGAAGCATTCGAGACGAACAGTATAATAGGTTAAATTTCTGAATTGGTTTCATGGGAACGCTGAAACCGCGAAATCGTCCAAGAATACACATCAGCCTTCGAACTATCGCTTTTACCTTAGGTTGAGTTTGCAGCTCTACCGGCAAATATTCTGATTTGTGCCAGCATGTACGTTGAAAATTTACAAGCCCGATCTAATGAACCTTCTCCCTGCCCATATTCAGTTCAATGTAAAACGGGGAAAACAATGATGAACATGAGGAAATATAAAAAACAGGCTAATTTGCGATGCAAGTTGGTCCTTGAACATTTTCCGGTAGTCAAACAATTGACTGAATACTATACACTTGAGTTCCTCGCAGGAAAAGAAATCACAGTTTTCTAAGGCAAATCATATTACCAGCGGAATAAGCAATCCCTCTAATGGTTCTAGCTTAATTATCTTGGAGCCATTAGAAACTGGCATTGCATGCTTTCTGTCTATGCCAGTGGGAGGATTTATCAATAATTTTTGGCATCTGAAATACGAATAATCAGAAACAATTCGGGTACCCATATTACCTTGTTAGTAGGGCCCATATTATTGATACTTCAAATGACGCAGTCAAAATTAATTGGTAGTCATTAAATTTTAAACGCCATGGTAGACCCCGATCCTAGCCCGTGCTCCTTCAATATTGTTTTGCGTAAGGCACCGGATGATCAATACGTTAAAAATGACAATTCCTCACAAGTTTTAAACAAATAGAAGATCCTTTCATTTTGACCGCTGATAACGCAAAAATAGGTGGACCGAAAAATATCCAATTATCTTCAATGCTTTACAGCATAGTTCCTGGAGAGTTTGAAAATATTGGAGGTTCAATAAAGTCTCTATGTAGAACATTAAAATAGTTTTCCACTGATGTCAAAATATTTCCGATTCAATCCGTCATTCCGATGCAGTTACACACGGTGTAACAGAGGTAGCACTTGCAAAGTGCACTTACCAGTACCCTACAAGATGTGCTCCAGATGACGTCCATTCCTTCGCTTACGGCGTGTAGGCGAACTCTTGCATGCACTAGGTGCCATCGCGGCATGACACCAACTAGTCCAGCAGCACCTCTTAACCCTTTCAAGACCATAAGCATTGTGGGACGGCGACCTTAACTTTAATGACGTGTTTAGGGTGAAAATGACGTGTAGATTCCAAAAAACTCTGTTTGGAGGTTATATCTCCCATAGTTCTCGAGATATAGCGTGGGACAAATATGTCCCACAACAAAAAAAAATACATTTTTTTCGAAAAATAATCAACAAATGAATGTCGAAATGAGAAAATATGTTACAGTAAGGACATACGAAGGCAAACCCACAGACAATTATTTTTCGGCTGAATGGGTTTTTCAAAACAAAAAAATCAAAATTCACATTTCCGGACCCGTTTGGAAAAGATAATTTTGCTTTGTTTGGTGACGACACAAATTCATATATTCACAAAACCTGCCATAATTTTGAAAGTCAATGACATACTGATTCCTTATTCGTAAAAAGCATCTCCCTAGACTAATTCATTCAAATTTGGGAGGATTTTGAAAATATGGGACAAATAGGTCCCTTGGTCCTGAAAGGGTTAAACTCTATCTAACTGCGTAAAAGTCATGTCACGAATCTTTATTCTGTTGACGACATTAGAAATTGCATGAATACGGACGTGCTATTGCAATTTCAACAAACTTTGGGGACCAGAGGTGTGGAGTGATTAAGATAACCGAAGGTCTTTTTTGGCCCACCCGGTATATCTAGGAGCACGAAAGAGGAAGAGGAAGTGCAACAACATAAGCAGCATTGGCAAATCATCAGATTTGTTCCCGTCTTAGGAGAAAAGTCAGGGAACAGGAGCCCGTTTTCCCTCAGTTCCCCCGTTGCAGAAGTATTGGGGAATCTCATGTTCGTATCTTGTGAAAGCATCATATGAAACGCCTGCATTGAAATGGCTAGATAGAAATGCTCTTAGTGAAGAAGTAGAAAGAGATATGTCAGCCATGTGAAGTCAAAACTTCACGTTATGATTCTCGCATGAACTATTAGGCACATGCAGGAGGTTTCAAAGAAGGCGCTCCATCCTTTTTCTAAGGGGAAGTGGCTATTTTCTTCTTAGGAATGTTCTCATCAAAATAAAAACCTATAAAATCTAAATCTGACTTTTTCTGGGATTCTAATTTAATCCGAATAACCATTCCTTAGAACGGAAAAACCGAATTAACAAATTAATTTCAAGGCATTTTTGGTAAGAAAAAAATTATGAATTAGGATAAATAAGATACCGGTCCGGATCAATCTTTTGAAAAGTAAGCCAACTAAAAATTCAATCTTCTTAATTTTTAATTGAGTGAAATATTTTGCATTTTTAATCAAAATCAATTTTTTCTTAGAACTCTTTCGCAGTAACCAGAAAGTAAAGTAACCATTAAGTCATGTGTTCTTAAATTCTGTGCTCTAAGAACTGTAGTCTAAGTAGGTACGCTGGAGGGATCAGGAAGAGACAGGTACAGTGCCCTATTAGATCAAATTTAGTAATGTCTTTGCAATGTCCAGTGCATTATCAGTCCAGCATTCATAAGAAAAGTAATGTGAGGAAAGATTTGAATGTTTGTACCCTCATATTAGAATCTCGGGTAACATTTGTATTCTTCTAACAGAAACAAGCCATTTTGTTATTGGTGTCAGATTCTTTGGAGTGAATCTGACATAAAAAGCCAAATCCCATATTTTATCAATGACTCAAAGCCTACATTAAACTGTTTGTCAGATTAAGCCTCCACTACTTTAAGCCTCCACTACTTCACTGAAGATGTTCTACCTTTAAGAAAATAGGCATGAGCCAGAATAAAGCCTGGTGTGATTTTTTTCTGAGTGTTACGTGGAATGAGCGCTACATATCCTCCATAGAAAATGAGTGCAGCGTCTTTTTTGCAACACCCTATGCATAATGCCGCTCTTAACGCGTCACCCTTTCAGATCTGGCGTTCATTCGAATGGGCATTGCATTTTCATTGTGTCTATGTTAATTTTTTGGGATTCTCCTGACTTTGCGCCCCATATTGCACTGCAATCGGCGCAATTATGCACGGCTCAATTCCATTGGAGATATTCCTTCACCCAACAGTTTCTTAATTTTCAGTTATATAATTCAATGTATAACATTATATATGGTATTATATGGTGCATTTACAGTATATAGACTAAAATGTGAAAACGATATATAACACTCAAAAATTGCTATTACAATAGCAAACGAGTTCAACATTTTAAAAATATATTATACCCATAGTGGCTTTAATTCAGGTCTAAAAGGGTTAAATAACGTCAACTGCAACATGACCGATATTTGGATTTTCCGTATGCATCTAGGGGTTGAATTTTGTGGCTACAGGTTCGACATGTATCATCTTGTATTGATAGTTCTTATTTTCAAGCTCTCGGGTGATGAAATTCAGTATTTAAGTACGCGAAGGCCCTAGCTTATGAGGACCTCTGCCAATGTCTGTTAAAAGCTCCTGAAAACGCCACACCTACACTTAGAAAATTCCGAGCGTTTGGGGAGTAAAAAATGAGCACACCGGGAGCTTTTCGAATTTACACTCTTATTACTCACCAAATGCTCTCTCATCGCTCGCATTGAAGTAAACACTTTGAAGTTTTTTGCCAGGCCACTAGATGGTGGTAAAGGTCTCGTTTTTCGCACAGTGCACACAAATTCTCTTCCCTCTTTCCCTGGAATCGTCCCTCGCAGGATTGTTTAGTACCTTGCAATATGTCTCGCCTAGTCTCATTATAGGAATCAATAAACATGGACACTTCATCATTTGTTATCCACATATTCAAGACATATTCATAGAGTCCAGGCC